CATTGCTACTTATTTTATTTACTGTTTTAAACCTTTTTCAACCTAGCTTAATCACTTAGGATTATATCTTTTGTGTCTCTAGTTCCTTGTGGATTCGATCCCTAAGTACTACGATTGAACCTCTTATTTGAGAGAGTAAAATCACTCGTTAGGGTAATTTGAGTGATATCATCTTCCACAACTCTTTCCATAATTGTTTTTCAATAGGAGTAAGAGAATGACCTTGTGGATGATCATAGTCTACCAAACCATTTGATGTGTAACCCCACCGAAGTGTATCTTGAACTAACAGTGTTGCTTTCAGAAATAATATCCTTTGAACATCCTGTGCCGTGAAAGTTTGATGTAGTAAATTAGTATCCCATTGATTCGACCCATTTAAAAATAAATCTGAAACTTTTAGCGTCAGATTTATGGAACTATTCTCACGGTACATTGGAGGCCGAGGAATGGTATCAACAATCCAGTTTTCAGCCCAAATGCTGGTAGCAGCCCCGTCGCCAATGTGTCTATATAGCCCCTTTTTTAATAGTTCTCTACCGTGCATGATGCTCCGCCACGCGTATGACGGACGTGTTCCCATACCACAGTCTAAAAAAATTCCATTCTTAAAATATTTGCCTTTAAGAATACGTGCGACCAAAGAATCCGGGTTATTCCAAATTCGCCAAGCTTGTTTACCCAGCAAAGCCTGATTGAACTGTCCAATATCGTGAAACCCCAGTCCCCCCCTGGTCTTTGGGTTTACACAACTTATCCCATGAAACCCAAGGAATTTTCCGTTTTTTTATCCCCACTACTCCACCAAAACTCAATAATCGCACTCGTGATTCGTTCACACAGGCCTTTTGGTAACCGAAAAACTGACATTGCATAAATTAGGAGCGCTAAAGCAACCGATTTTATTAAAACTTCTTTAGCTCTCATCGATAAAGTTTTTGAGTACCAATCCTGTAGCCTCCCCCTCTAATTTCTCTTTGATAAAATTTAAAAGATCTTTTTAAATCCCTGAAAACATTCAGAGAGACCGAGATAGGAGCCTTCCCCTCCTTCCATTTCAATACCCATATAATGTTTTATAGATTATTTCATATCCTCGGCTATGTTTTCCCAAAAATGATGGAAGACTTGAAGGAATTAATCATTTGCCCAGAGGCCTCTTCATAGATTTTCAAACAATTCAAAACTTCTTCACTATCCCTTATAGAAGCTTCACATAACAACAGACTATCATCCGCAAATAGCAAATGGTGAACAGAGGGACTGTCTTTAGCGAGCTTTACACCATGTAATTTCCCATGTGCTTCAGCTCTGTTTAAGACATGTACTAAAGCTTCAGCACATAGAATGAATAAAAAGGGGGAGAAAGGATCACCTTGACGTATACCTCTTTCAGGTTTAATAAATCCATGAGACCGTCCATTTAGTAACACTGAGAAAGTAACAGAGGTAATGGAAGACATTATCTAGACAACCCATTTATGATCAAATCTCATTTTTTCCAATAAAACTTCAAGAAAATTCCATTCAACCCGATCATAGGCTTTTGACATATCTGTCTTAATCGCCATACTTTCTTTACCAATTTTGTCATTAGTCCACAGAGCATGTACCAACTCATGTGCTATAATGAAATTGTTTGTAATTAATCGACCACCAACAAAAGCCCCTTGAGTTTCTGAAATTATATTAGGCAAAATCGCCTTCATCCGATTGCAAAGGATACGAGAAATAATCTTGTATTGTACAATGCAAAGACTAATGGGGCGCATATCCTTCATCTCTGTTGGATGTAAAATCTTTGGTAAGAGAAAAAGTTGTGTATGGTTCCAGCCAGCAGGGAGGATTGCTGTTTTAAAAAAACTTTGAACATCATCAATAATTTTCAGGCCCTCAATATGTCAATATTTTTGATAGAAAAAACCAGTAAGACCATCTTTTCCAGGGGCTGATTTTTTTAACTTCATCAGGACTACTTTTGATACCAAATGCTGATTTTTTTTAACTTCATCAGGAGATACTTCTCTAGTTAATATTATGTTCATCTCTGAAGTCACCCTAGATTGAAAACCCTCAAACAACGTTTCCAGATCTCGTGGGTTGGAGCTTGTAAACAATTCTCTGAAATATTCAGTAGTAATATAACCTTTAGACCCTTCAGAATAATGCTAATTTCCAAAGATACCTTTAAGCATTAAGATCTTATTTCTCATTTTTTTTCCCTTTAACCACATTATGGAAGTATGTTGTATTTGTATCACCCTCCCTAAGCCACTCTTCTCTACTTTTTGTCTCCAAAAGATCTCTTCCTCCCTATAAGCCATAGCCAACTCCTGTCGTAACCTCCTTAACAAACTATAGATGGGAAATTGCTTTGAACTTTCTTTGTCCAAATCACTCTGTAACCGGTCTATTCTTGTTTTTGAATTCCAATCATTATTCTTTTTGAGCTTGAATAATACGATCAAGAACACTTAGATTCGAGATGATGTTTTCTACATCCCATCCCCGAATAATGGCCTCCTCTACCCCTCTCTTACCATACATACGTTTATCAAAATAAAACCGTCCCCGTTGCAGGTTTTCAGGTTCTAGAGCAAACTCTATGCGTAAAGGGCGATGATCCGAAGGCCACATACTCATATAATCAGTAGACGATTGTGGAAAGATTCTAAACCATTCATCATTACCAAAACTCCTATCAAGTTTGCATTGTACCCAATTCAGTCCCGCCTACATGCCCATGAAAGATTATTTCCTGTACTCCTCATCTCCCTGATTTTACATGCTTCCGCCATGTTCCGAAAATCAAAAAAAGTGTTTTCATCTCTAATAACACCTCCCCTTTTTTTCACCATTATGCATTAGCTCATTAAAATCTCTCACCAAGAGCCATGCCTCATCTCTAAGTACATCAATATCTGTTAATTTATCCCAAACAAATCGACGCCTTGCTCGTACCGGATCCCCGTATACACATGAAAGAAATAAATTAAGGGACCCTATTGTTATTTGCAGATCGATAATTCTATTATCACTATTTAATATTTCAACCGTGTAACATCCTTTCCACATTACCGCTAATCCCCCACTGCGCCCGATGGGCTCTATCGTGTGTAAACAGTCATACCCCAAGCTCGATTTTAAGACATTCATGTAAGCGAATTTTTGCTTACTCTCCATAAGGAACAAAAAGTCCGGAAAAAACTGACGTTTAAAATCTCAAATAAGTTAGACTATATCCGAGCTGCCAACACCCCTACAGTTCCAGCTTAAAATACTCATAAGAACTTCTAATGTGTTGAATATTTTCGGTAAAGCCCAATATACAATGGTTTAACAAAACCAATACATTACACCACATATGCACCATTTATCAAAGTTACGTAACCTTGCATAAACCCGAGAGGGTAAAATCAAGAGAACGCAGAACACCCACGTAGCGCACCCAATATGGTCTTCCATTCTTATACATTGTTTTTCTGATTTATAAAAAATACATTCCCACAACTGACGAGATGAGCTACGACCAAGAGGAATAAGACCCAAACATAATACTTTTTGTTGCGTTTGACAAATGTCTTGTGAAGAATCTAAAAACAAATAACAACATCGAGCAGGCAGCTGTCCAAATCCTTGGGATTGGAAGTAAACCCATACTATTATAACAGAAACTTTACATTTCCAACCAGTAGGCATCCCTATATGTATAATTTTTGAATAGATATGAACCTCCAAAATTGACACCATAAGTATATACACCTATTTGGGCACACCTTCACGCATTTTTCAGTTGTCAAATAGGACCTCCGAAAATCAACCACCCGTTCCCAAGTAGCAAACATCCATTTCATATAACCATTCAAGTCCTGAAGTGAACCGATATTGAACCAACACATTCCAAGAAACCACCTATTTAGCTCAAAACTCCTGCACCCTTGAGCTGTCAAAAATAAAGCCAAAACTCCATAGACCATACAACATTCATGTATCCTAAAATGAAAAACCCAAATTCCTGCCAATCCATTGGAAAAAGCCACCACAAAGACACTTTAAAGATATCTAAATTGATCACCTGTAGCCTTACCTCATAGTCATATCGAAGAAAATTATAAATAAAATGAATAAGAAAGTAAACCAGCATAAGAGTACGACCATTAGACCCTGGAAACAACCATTGAATCAAGGCAGAGAATGTATAAAGAACCATCGAGTACATCACAGCATCCAAGAAAACCAAAAAAACCAAGTCACAGCCCAGATACCAACGATATAAGAAAACGGGATGAAAAACACTGAATTTCATATCAGAAGCCATCATTATTACGCAACTACTCAAAAAAATTCCAAGTGACCCAGTAATTGAAGTTATAACACAACCAACGTCCCTGTGATGCCAACCATAGCCAAATTCGCACATATACGTTTCTATACTCCATAAGGACGCAGACCAAGAAACAACCCTAGCAACCAACATATTAACCAAATCAGCATTTAGTAGCCTCGGAGACCAATGTAAAAGCACAGACCAAAAGGAGCCTCCATTTCTCACAGTAGCTATCCTCCCTAAATAGAAAATGTTCCAAATGAGAATTGATCTTCTCCCATAAGTCTCATCCCATCTAAATCTCAAAAGAGTCCACTGGAACATATAAAGATCAAACCATGATATCCTCTCCATTCCAAATAGCCACATAAACATATATAAATTGAGAAATAATGAAAGATAATCCTACCAAAACCTGAGCTCAAGTCTGCTATATAACCCGTAAATCTTAAGCATAGAAGCAAAAGGAAACAAAACTTATTCATTTTATTAAAAGCCAGGAGAAACATAAAGTCCCTACATTTCGGGACACCCAAGGCTATCTCTGGTAACACATAAAGGCCAATAGAAAATAGCAATGTAAACATGGATTTTATAGTATAATCCAACATTATTATCAACTAAATTATGAAAAGACACTTAAACTTCATAAGGTTTCCAACTAATGGTTACCTTAAGGCTTATTGCCAGCCTTCTTGCCCTCACCAACCTTTCCTGCAGGCTTAATGATCTTGCTTTTTCTCGGAGAAAGTAGTTTATGAACAAGGCGTGTCCCTGTCTTTGTGCCTTTCTTCTTAGTCAGCTTTACACCTGCATCATTTGCTTCATTAGGTGCGACCACAATGTTGTCATTGGTAGCTTGATTCATTGGCTCCGCAGTACTAATAGTCTCTTCCATCTCCTCCAAGAACTCAGCCATTTCACCTTCCTCCCATCCCTCGGCAATAAGTTCTGAATCAGACAGCAAAACACCTTCCTCCTCTCGATTATTATCGTCCGGGAATGAGCCATGATCGCCATCTTCCAGTTCAATATCCACCTTCACATCTGCCTTATCATTCACAATGTTTTCCTCCAGCATCTGAACGTCCATTCCCTTGATAGCACCAGCATTATTACGTGGCTCCTCCAGTCCTACAAAAGCAGCTGATTCTTCAAAATTAAGAGATTTTCTGGCCCCTGGAATCACCACATTCTCTTGGACCTCTTGACTGCTTTGTGGATCCTTATTCATTCCCCTAAAGGCATCCATCATGAGCTTTTGATGGTTGTTTAGATGGTCACCTTTCCCATTCTCAAGCTGTCTTAGGCCTCTGGTTTTCACCGCAAAGCGTCTTTGATCATCATTAGAAATGCCATAGATTGTACACCACGACTAGTTGAACCATTTCCAAAACCCCTAAAATTTCTTCCTTTGTAACCCCGGTAAGTTCCACCCTGCTTGAGAGAACCTGATTCCTTGTAAGGTCCTTGACGATCCCTAGCTAACCCTTTACCTTTGCTTCATATCTCAGCACCACTACCATGATCACTAGAGGAGACCCTTACTGTTTCCAGAGCTCCTTTGTAACTCAAAGCTTGATTCCCTTGTTCAGATTTCGGATTCTCAGTCTCTTTTGCTTCGACCTCGGTCACTTTGGTAGGACATCTCGATTGATCATGTGTCATACACCTACAAATCCTACAATAACCAACCAGCCGCTCATATCTCAGATTCACTTCAAGTTCTACTCCATCATCAAAGTCCACATCCATTGAAAAAACAAGTGGTTTAAAACCGTCCAACTCCACTCGCACACGGCCTTCCCTCAAATCCACATCACCTTTCACCAAACCAAGAGCATCACCGACACTTTTGAAAGTAGATACCACCCAGAACTGCATTGGAACATCAAGTACCCTAACCCAGAAGGTGATCTTGGAGGGATAATTGGGTTCCAGCACTAGTTTCCATCGCACAAGCGAAACCATCCAATGGTCAAAGTGGAAAGGCTCCATCTTCAATACCTCAATGATATCTTCCTCATGATCAAAGTCAAACCTGAAGCGTCCCGATCCTAAGTCCGAACCAATGACCCTTCTTTCCATGTTCCAAAACCTTGGCAGCATAAAAAGAAGATTTCTCATCTCCTGCTTTGGTGGATTCATACACCGACCAATCACCGTATTCGCATACTGAGCTATCAGTTCAGTGTTATCGAACCTAGGCACCGAAATATTCATCTTTGGTTTAACCATCTCCCCCATCTTACCCCCAGATTTCGTTAGCCATTGAGACTGAGCCATCACAAACAAAAAGAAGAAAAGATGAACAATATCAGGAACCGAAGTGTCTATGAAGAAAAGTGATGAAAGATAATGTAATGGACTGAACACCGAGACTAAGGGTTCTATAAATAATATAAGCAATAACCTTGTGATTGAATTATTTCCAGAAAGAAGTTGATTACGCTTTGAAAATAGAATCACAGAGATATGATATTGGTGACAGAATATTTGAATAAGGAAAGCTCGGATCTTAGCCAATAAACAAACATAATATTTACCAAACATAATCCTTATGTCAATCTTCAGATTATGAAAATAATGCAAATAAACTTCAAAATGTAAATCAACCCAAATATCCTCCCATAAATTATCAATGACAAGTATATCATTCCTCATCACCTTCCCAATTAGCAGTATGAAAAGATAAGAATCAAAACTTAAGTTTAGCAATCTTCTCACCGAAATCTCCAACTCTAAACCAATTAATTCCTGATTGACCAGATTCCAATTAATACCGTGTCCAAATAGAGGGGGGAGGGAAAAAGGAAAGAGGAAAGAGGATCAAAGATCCGCCATAGCTTCGCTTCATCATTACTAGTTTTGGAAACCCGCCATCATCTTGATGCCCTATTGCCGATCTCCCTATGATCAAGATAAACCCATCGGAAACCAAAAACCAACCCAAATCCAATAGAAATCCATCAAGAAATCTCATAATTTCTTCACCAAAAATCGCACAATGGCACTACTTAATAATTAATATCCATAGATATATTTTCTTTTATTTTATAATTTAATGAATAATAATTAGAGTGAGCACAATAGCATTAGAGTGATCACACATCAGTTAATATCCATAAATCTGTTTTTCTTTTCTTTTATAATTTAGTATGTTTTTATTGCATGTAAAAAATGCAATCATCGGTTTGGCTTACTCTTCTTTACTACTCCTTACGTTTCATAAAAAAATTATCACTTTAACACATTTCACAAATTAAAAAATCGATAATATAAATTAATGTACCTTTATTAATTCTATAATTTTTAAATGAAAAAATTTCAACTAATCATCTATTGTTTGTTTAAAAGGAAAATAAAGAGATTTAATATGAAAATTTGCTTTGAAAATACATAATGACACTTATTTTGAAAAATATAAAAAAATTAAAGTGGAAATCTTTATGAAACAGAAGGAGTAATAAAGATTTTATTTTATCAGTTGATTTCCATGATTCAGATATTAAGATCATAATTCTTATTTACACCTTTTTTTTTTTTGGATAATAGTATAATTTAAAAAACATTCACTACAAGAAATATGAGTTTTGATAGCATTAGATAATAGTGTTTTTTGTCTTTCTGCTATGGTTGATATACGCGGTAATATTACATAGTGTTTGTATTTTTAAAAAAGCTATGATAGAACAATATATTTTGAAACGCTATGATAGAACAGTATATTTTGAAACGCTATGATAGCATATAGTTTTATACGTGACACTTATGTTTAATAGCAAAAGACAATTAAAAACGTTATGTTTGTTCTTATAATCCCTAAACCCTGAATAAGTTTTCAAACCATGAATTATATACACAAACTTAAAATTCTAATATTTTTTTACTATAACCTCAAATCGTAAAATTAAAATCAAAGTGTAATCTTTTAATTTTATCTTTTTCTAAAATATAAATCTTAAATCTCCAATACCCTAAATCTTATTTTCAAACACAAACCACACATCCACCAAATATAAAAACTAATATATAGTACTTACAAAATAAAAATATTTTGAATTTACTTTTTAAAACTTTAAATCTAACCTTAAAACTCTATACACAAACCTTTTACTCTAAAATCATACATTTCAAATTTGAAATTTAATAGTTCTTATCATTAAATTTATCAGTGTAAATGATATTTAATTTTTATATAAATAAAATAGTTAAACAATAAAATTACAATTTTTTTTAAATATTAAATAAAAATTTCTCTTTGTTCACTAGTTCTTATCATTAATTCTCTTTGTTCTTCTTTATTGATCAAATAATAAAATAAAGAAAAAAATTTGTCATTGGTTAAAACATGATGGTGAGGATAGCTATTACATTTGATCTTCACCATTGATATAACTCAATCTAACGGGCAAGAGTGATTCACTTTAATTAATGGACAATAATAAGTCTTGTTTTGTTATTCTCTCTCTCACGTAGTTTCTTCTTCTTCTTCATTTGCTTCTCTCTAACGAGACATCTCCTCTAGAGCCCCCAAATCTCAATGGCAAAATTTCCTATGGGCTCCATAAATTTCCTATGCCCCCAATTCATTAACTCTATACGGATTGATCATTTTGCCCTTTCTGAGGTGGAATAAAAAATTAATAAATTCGATTGGGTTGGATTGGGTTAGTTGAGTGAGTGGTTTGTTCGGTTGGTATGGGTAATGGTTTTAGTTTTGGTTTCGGTTCGCGGTTTGGTTTGTGATTCAATTGAATTAGAATATTAATCCAAAAAATTGAAATTAAAAGAATTAAAAACAAAAATAGTGGTCATCGAGCTTGCTCGTAGCCTTCCAGGAGGTCAGATTCCCACACCTCGACGGAGCTGCCAATGTCGATTAGTTTACGGCGACCCTGGCGGACTTCAGCGTTTCCACCGGCGAGCACTCCTTTGAGATAAGTGGTAATGCAGCTTAGTTCTTTTGTACTCCTCAAGCTACATTGGATAAAAATAAGAATTATGATTTGTAATTGGATTATATGAATTTGATTTGGTGCAAACACCTAGTGTTCTAGGTCAATTTGTAAATTAAATTGGTATACAATGGAAGTATGTGGTTGAATGTATCGAATTGAATTGTGAGTAGGTTGGCACAGAGATCTCATTATCGTCCTGGGGAAGACGATTGAACTAGGTAAAACTTAGTATAACTAGTAGAACTGATGACTGTAGAATACAAAGTAAAACTTAGTAAAACTAGTAGATCTGATGATTGTAGTATACCAGATGTAAGTAAAACTCAGTATAACTGAAGATAACTCGGTAGAACTAAGAACACTTTGTGTAACGAAAACTTTATTCTGTTGTTTTTGCAGGATACAATGGCGAAACATGTGAGCGTATTTTTCAAATTCAGAGGACGCATGTATAGTGTAACCGTGAAGACAACAGTGGATGAAATAAGTTTGGCAATGATGGAAGAACGGGTGTATAAAAAAGCTTGCTTTGGATGAAAGTATGGTGAAGCTGTCATTGTCATATAAACCGATGGTGGTTGGTTGTGAGAAACAGATAATTATTTGTGATTATGAGGATTTTTATGTTTACCTAACAACCATTGATAGAAAGAAACGTAGATGTCTTTTGTTAGTGAAGGAAACACGTAGATTGGATCAGATAGAGAAGCTGTCTAGAGTGGGCAAAAGTTTGTTTTGGATGAACTACAAAGTGCTGGAGGGAAATGTTGGTGAAATTGGACCTAATGCCATAACTCTGTACGTAGAAGATGGGCAAGCAAATGCACAGAAAGAGGTGATGGAGGCAGAGAATGGTGATGATGATACAAGAGGAGACGATTTTATGGAAACGGACACCACTGCTGAGACGGACACCACTGCTGAGACAAACACCGCTGCTGAGACAAACACCGCTGCTGAGACAAACACCGCTGCTGAGACGGAGACCGCTGGTGAGACAAACACCGCTGCTGAGATGGATACCGGTGTCGATATGGCAGATATGGCAGATAAGTATGTTGAGCAGCTACCTGTGGTAAAAATTAGTCAGGTTATATAGAAATGGGAAGATGGAATGGGTATGACTAAGCGTCAGGAATTTCCAAGCAATAAATCAATTGAAGAGGCTGTGTATAGAGCCGCTTTTGGTGAATGCTTTCGCTATGTTACTCAGAAATCGGATCGCAAACGATTGGTAATAAAATGTGATGTACCAGCTGTAAATGGGTTTTGGGAGCTGCAAGGGTTCGAAATA